CTGTCTGACCAGTGCTGATTGGCCCTGTGCTGATCACATGCACTCTCCCAAGAAAAAAAAAAAATCTCTCTAGCAATACCATACCAAAACTGAGCATGTGCAAAATGCTTACAGTTCAGCTGTTACTCTGTCTTTTCAGTAACACACTTTAAAGATAAGAGGTGGTCGCTTGATCAAAAGGGGAGGAACAGAGAAGAAAGGATCAAACGGCTTTTTTACACATATGCAGATAGCCCTCTAGAAAGTAGTGTTAGGTTTCACAGTGAGTATAACAAGGCATGCATGTTTACTGCATAAACAGAGGCAGAGCAAATATGATTATTACTGCACCCTTAATTAATATTTGTGGGTTTAGTAACACTTTAAAGACCCGGAAGCACTTTTTGTTGGTGCTTTTCAGTTGCCAAAAAAAAGTGAAGATCTCCTTACATTCATAATCTGAATGTACTGTTGAATTATACCTCTCCTTTGGTAATACAGCGATGGACTTCCAACTGCTGGCACAAAGTGGCCACTTGGACTCCCTGCAACACAGCGACTGTTGTTTTGTTCTTTGTAGGATATAAGGCTTTACCGAAGAAAAGCTCATTTCCACAAGACGTTTTCAGACAGGCTTTTGGCACCGTTTTCTACATTCTTCTCTGTTTTTTCTAAATGTCGAATAGATTTCTTTCCATGAGCCTGCAGGACACTGCTTTGTGTTTGTGTATCCACGCCATCCGGCATTTAGTTCAATTTTCCTAGTAACTAGCCCTGATCCCCTATGTGTTAAGGCATGTAGTAATATTTTTATATTTGCCACAAGGTGTTTTTGGGTTAGATCAGGTCCTCAAAAAATGTGGCACAGACAGGACACTCCAAAATGTTAAGTGGACCTATTATTGCCCCCCCCCCACACCATACTTGCCCCAGGTGAGTTTTCATAACAGCATTCTAGAGTTGTGCAAAAAAGTACTTTTGTGCCCATTTTTACCATTAAAGCTGGTCCAATATCCAGGGTACAACATAGCAATAACATGTGTTTTAAGTTTCGTACTTTTCATTCAAGGGTGCCAACAAGTTCGGCCTGACTGTATTTTAGAATACTGCAGTTACTCACTGATTATATGTGGTTTCAGCAGTCACTAATTTCAAATAACTTTTAGATGGGCATCTTATTAAGCACATTATACAGGCATATGGGAAGTGGTAGAGACATAAATACACACACACCCACAAAGGTTGAACTAGATGGATTGGTGTCTTTATTCAACCTTAGTAATTATGAAACAATAACTAGTATTTATCATATAGCATAGGGATATACAGGGGCGGACTGACCATTTTTGGAAACTCGGGCCCCTGCCCGAAGGCCTGGGGTCAGTAGAGGGGCCCCATGAGATGCCCCTGGTACCTTTTCATTAGGCTTTTTTGAGTTTGGGCAAGGACACAGGGGCCCCATGATCCCCCTATTGCCCGGGGCCCCATGAGTTGTCAGTCCACCCCTGGGGATATACCATACTCAGTATAGAAGTATGTAATTGAATAGTACTGTGATCAGTGTCCGCTGCCTTACTTTACTCCTCCCCATCCATCTTCACAGTGACATCTACACAGTGGGGTTGATTTACTAAAACTGGAGAGTGCAAAATCTGGTGCAGGTGAATGGGAGCCAATCAGCTTCTATGTTCAGCTTATTCAATCAAGCTTTGAAAAAAAAAACTAGAAGCTGACTGGTTTTTATGCAGAGCTGCATCAGATTTTGCCCTCTCCAGTTTTAGTAAATCAATCCCAGTATGTAGCAGAGTACACAGTTTTCTATAATGTGAAATAAAATATGTTACACACTTAATCCACCAATAACATACTATAATGTTCAAAACAATGACACGATCTATTCACATTGATACTGAATAGGTAATACCCCCTTTTCTATTTCAAATTACAGATACTGCACCAAAGAATTTTCAGTTGTTGGCAAATGTTCTTATTACTTTCCCACATTATCCTAATCAATGTTATGCTTCTCCAGGATCAGATGTGTATTTAATTTTTACGATCTATTTGTGTAATTTATTAATAGAATACAATTTGAATAGCGAATATATTACTGTACCAGGAGGAGAGTTATGTGCTCTGTATGATAACAGCTTTAGCCATAACTTTACATTGTAGTTACACTTTCATGGAAAAGGTTCTCTTCACCTTCATGAGCAAAAATACTTTTGTCATAAAGTTTGTATTATAAGAAATATATCTTTGCATATAGTTTCATTCTTTTTTTGTATTGTTGTAGTTAAAAATATTTTGTTAGACAGGTAAAAATGAAATATTACTACTGGATATTATGTAGCCTTTTATTCAACCAGTAGATGGACTTTGAAGCCCCTTTCATGTTGTCTTGTGTGGTTCTAAAGGCTCAAGGTTTAATTACCTTCATGCATTCTATTCATGAAGGTAAAAAAACCTTCTGTGTGCAGAAGCTCCCCCATATGGAGCAGTGGGTGCCCCCATAGCAAGCTGCTTGTTGTGGGGGCACCCAACAGACAGGAGGAGCCAGGAGAGCCTGCGGGGGACCCAAGAAGAGGAGGATCCAGGCTGCTCTGTGCAAAACCACTGCACACAGCAGGTAAGTATAGACATGTTTGTTATTTTACACAAAAAAATTAACCTTTAGAAACGCTTTAAGTTAATAGCTCAATTTGAAATTTACACACATCAGTGAATACATCAGATGATTGATTTGTCCCTTATCAGTACAGCTCTGGCAGAATTTTCCATCAACCAAAGTAAACACAAAGGCCCTTACCGTCCTACTGTGCTGTCTCTTTAGGAGACAGTACTTTGATAATCCTTTGTCATTTATTAAAGGGAAATTATAATAGTATCATGCAATCTAAATACTTTGTTGTGTATTTAAGGAAAAAATATAATGGCACTGAGTTCTGGGAATTCTTTTTTGGGTATTAAAGGTACATGATAATAGCACAGTGTTGTCTCAGAATCCTTTGTTGGGTATTAAAGGGATACTACACAAATTAACTGTAAGTCTATGACCACTGACAGGTTAAGTGAATACCAATGAACATCTTGTTAAAATGGCTTCTGAAAGTCAGTGGGATATATTAGGCAGCAAGTAGACATATTGTCAATGAAGTTGATGAGTTAAAAGCAGAAAAAATGGGCATCACAGTTTATTGTGTAAGGGGAGGTGTAGCTGTAGACCGGTCAGAGTACCCATGCTGACTCATTGTCCACAGCCAAAAGTGCCTACAATGTTCTTGTGAGCATCAGAAGTGGACCACAGAGCATTGGAAGAATGTGGCCTGGTCTGATGAATCATGTTTTTCTTTTATATCAAGTAGATGGATAGGTGTGTGGGCATTGCTTAGAGGAAGAGATGGCACCTGGATGCACTATGGGAAAAAAGCAAACCAATGGAGGCAGGGCGATGCTTTGGGAAATGTTTTTGCTGGGAAACGCTGAGTCCTGTCATTCATGTGGATGTTACTTGACACGTACCACCTACCTAAACATTTGTTGCTGAGCATGTACTCCCCTTCATGGAAACAGTATTACCTAGTATGACAGTGGCCTCTTTCATCAGGATAATGCACCCTACCACACTGCAAAAATGGTTTAAGAATGGCTTGAGAAACACAACAAGTTTGAGGTGTTGACTTAGGACGTGCTGGACAAACAAGTCTGATCCATAGAGGACCCACCTTACAGTTTTAGTGGTGTCCATGTCTTGATGGGTCATGGCTGTGTTAGTGGCAAAATGGGCTGTATTAGCAGCAAAAAGAGATCTACTCAATATTAGGTGGGTGGTCATGACGTTATGGCTGATCAGTGTACAATAGCGTAGCACTCTGGGAATCCTTTGTCATTTATTAAAAGAGAATTATGATGGACTTCTTGACATTTATGATCAGCACTTAAGTACATTCATGCAATTTTTTGCATATTGTTCTGGAGTGCATACCTAGAATGGCATGCAGGCTAATAGTGAATGAGCAAAAATTTTAATTTTTATTGCAAAAATAATAAGCCCAGATCTACTAATTGATGGATCCTAAAGAGATAAATGATACCTCATTTGTCAAACAGTTTGTAAAAAAAACCATATTGTCCAGTCATTATCGAGCTATCAGATTTGATTATATTCTAGTGCTGGTGTGGATCTTATTGATTGTTAGAAGTACAAGAAATGCTTATTTCAGACATTTTGATATAGATGATTCAATAATGGCTAGTATCAATGATGTTATTCAGCAAAAATGTATTATTGACAGAATGATCCTGTAAAAGCTATGATATGATAAAGATTCAAATACATAGTAAATCAGTATAAGGTCATCAATTTAAAGGTATGCATACACACCATAAACATGTGTATGCAATGACAAATTTTAATTTAGTAAGTAATATATTTGATTGTGAAATTACATTTTCTGACCTAATCAATTCCCTATACAATACTCTTACTCAACACAAATCATGTGCTGGTAATTAAGTTACACAGTTATACATGTATGCTAGTGATTGGGCAGTTGGAGATTATGTGTAGTTAATAGCAAAACAAATAGGGTACAAACAAAATGGGTCATTTCTCTTGAAGACACAACACGCTGTAAATGTCCTTTGAATATCTTATGGATATAGGCCAGTGTTTCTCAACCTTTTTTCAGTCAATGCACCCTTAAAAAATAAAGACATTCCCGAGGCACCCTTTAAAATTATGGACAGTCTTGAGGCACCCCATTCTAAAATGTGAAAAACTATTCTAATAGTTTTATATAACGCAGCAACATCCACACATGGAGGACACCTAACATTAGAGGTGATTTATTCTTTCAAAGCAGATACATTTTTGCACACTGGTACTGACTAGTATTCCAATGTTTCTCTTCTCGCTCAATTTTTTCTCCATCACTGAGCTAATGTGTCTCCAGCACTGATGGAGAAGGCAGGGGAGGGTCAAACTAGGATGCTGTGCAGGCAGCTGACATCCTCCTTAACAACTGATGATGTCATTGGTTGTCAGGACTCCGGCAGCTAGAAGGTCGTAATGGTGCACAATGAAAACCTGTGGCTTTGTGTAGCTAAAAGGCAGGCTTGTTCAACCCGCTGGCTTGTATACTAGTTTTGGGCAATTTGTAGACATTTTGCCAAGGCACCCCTGAGGAAACCTCAAGGCACCCCAAGGTGCCTGGGCACCCTGGTTATGAAAGGCTGATATATATGATAAGTGGTACCTTGGCAACAAGGCCATATATATATATATATATATATATAGCAATAATATTAACAAGCATCAAAAGAGGCCAGACTGTTGTTCCCTTGCAGAGGGTGCTCCACACTTTATATTGACCACAAAGCAGCATGCAGACTTACTGGTAAGATAAGCATCAATTTAGATATTTTTCTCTTACATTCCATTCAAAATGAAGATGGTAATGATTTATTTTTGCAATTATTTTCTTGTGATTAACAAAATGTAGATAATCTGCTTTTAAAACTCCAATTTTTTCCAGATTAGAATATTCAAGTAAATTATATTGACCTATAATTCAAGTGCATGTACACTCAAGCGGAATCATTCCTAATCGTGGTGCTTTTGACAGCCAAGGTTGTAATAGAGTATCTCTCTTCCAACAACTAATGCTAGTTATGACACAACAGAATAAAATACATTTTTCAATATGTTTATTTTTCAAAATTGCAGTATTTGTGTAAAAAATATGTAACTGAAACACAGTAAAGCAAATACAGTGGTTTGTCCTCTTATTTTTTGGCAGCCTCTTCAAGTTTCTTAGCATCTGATGTGCCAATCTCAGCACAGCTTTGGAAAGTTACTGGAATAGTGATCTCTGCAGACTGGATTGCTGGCTTGGGGAGTGGTGCCTCTACTGTCAGAACACCATCCGGGGAAAGAGATGAAGCCACACTTGTGATATCAACACCTGCGGGAAGACTAAAAAAAAAGATCATGATTAATGTTGTTGAATGATATGCTGAAACCACAAAACACCTAATTGTATTCACTTATACAGTAATTATATGATGATATGACCTATGGTGCTATGTCAGTGCCTAATGCATAGAGCAAAGAGAATGAAATATGGATGTGAAATCTAGAAAGGAAACTAAATCTAGGCCTATGATGGCAGCATAATATGTAGGAAAAAGACTGCTTCACTGCACCTAAATATATTTTACATATGACAGATACAGTTTTTATTTTTATTTTATTACAGTTAGAAAAGACACTGTTCACTACACCTTCTGCATTTTATACAAATGATACTTTGGTCAAGTTGAAGACAGCAATAGACTGATATGTTTTGGTTTTTTTTATACTAAAAAACAACCTTTCATGGGGCAGAAGCACCTTTAGAATTGTATTGCACAAAATTGTTGCACATTTAATAATTTTGTTGAATAGTGAGTGCAGCTCATCCTATCTCATCATCTTTAAGTTGGGTACACACATTCAGTTTTTTTTTTCATTCAACCAGCGGGGTTAAATGAAAAAAAAACTGACAGATCCCTGCATCAATTCAATGATGTGTTATGTGGCAATCTCCCCTTATGTGTTATTGTTTTCTAACAAGGGGACCCACCCCCCTGGCCAGAATACACTGATCAGTACTTGCAGCCATTGGATGCAAGTGCTGATCGGATACTGGTTTTACAGTAAGACCATTTGACAGAAGCCGTTTGACGTTCAGTACGTTTGTACTAGGCTTTAGTTTACTCATCATTTGACACACCAATGTTTTGTTTTGCTGTTGTTTGCCTTTTCTAAAAATTGAAGACATTTTATACTGCTGTTTGCCATGTGACTTTTTAAATTCTCCCTGAAGATCTGGTTTTATAGTAAAACTAATATATATATATCTATATATATCTATATATCTATATATAGATATATATATATATAGATAGATAGATAGATATATATATAGATAGATATATATTTATTTATTTATATCAGATCAACATCAACAATATGTCTCCCTAGTTATCAAGTCAATAAAAATGTAAGCAAGTTATTACAGCAATATTGACTCTTAGGCCTACACTTTTAACCAAGAAGAAAAAAAACATTCTTTAGAGGGTTACTTAGTGAAAGGGACACAAAGATGGCCTGAGTCAGTTCCTTGTGGTCTTGGACAAGTCTTTTATCTATGAGACCAAAAATATGTTTGATGTGCCTTGGTTTGAAGCAGCTAAGGGCACAAGTCTATTTCTAGTGCTGATCTTTTTCAGGATTGGAAATCATCTGTTGTTCATTCTCAATGGCTTCTCTAGGCAACAAGTGTTAGCTGATATCTAGTAACATGCAGCAAACAACAATATACTATACAATACTTAATTACCAGAAGGAAATAAATATGTTACTTAAAACTGTCTTGGCTTACTGTAATGTAATTTATCATTTAACTTGTTTAGGTATAAGAAGCTGTAGCAATAAAAAATCTGCATACATACAAAATATTTTAGGCCTTATGCACATGTACAATTTGAGGCTTCACAATAAATATAAATACAAAAAAGTGGCAATTTTTATTGACTGTTCCCAACAGCAGCTCTAGGAGTGAAAACATTTAGCATGGACACTCACGTATATTTTCTTGTAAAGCATCTTGAGATAAATCCATGTTCATCTTGTTTTTCTTCATGTTTTCCTGTAAGAAAAGTGTTAAAGCAGTTCATGAATAATCAGTATCTCCTTATGGTGAATAGCCTTTACTTAAATGAGCTCGCATGCTTCTCGGCATTAATGTCCATCAGTTATGTTAATGGTGCACATTTTCAAAATAAATGGTCTAAGAGCAAGCCAAGCTAGTTCTCACCACGATAGGTCTAGTAATGCAATATTTAATGCAATATTTAAGTGAAGAGAAAAAAAACCCTAGGGGCATCTTGAAAATGTACAATATTAAATGTCATTGATGACTATTTTAGAAGGCACTGACTGTTCAAAAATGTTGTCATATACAGTATAACCATTATTTTTTTTACAAAAAAAGCACCCACATTAACATGGTCTGTCTAGCGGTTAAACAATTTAGTTCTTTTTTGTGTGATCCCTAGATTTTATTATTTAATAGAATCTTGTAGTGTGAGGCATGCCATGCATTACTTTAAAACTTATCTCTATCCCTGTAATTTTTTATTCTTTATTTAGGGTTTTCCATCAAGTTTTTGATTAACAAGGCAAATGCTGAATACCAGTGTAATTCCAAGTAATATAGAGTTGCCAGTAAAATGCTAAAGTGATAAATGTGCAAATATTTATCAATCCATCTAGTAAATTATTAAAACAGGGTGACAGTGCAGGGTAGTGGTATGGTCTTATACAGGGGTCTCTAAACTCTCTGAACAAAGGGCCAGTTTTCTGGTCTTCTGACTTTAGGGGGGCCGGACTGTAACCAGTGGGAGTGGAAAATGCAGCACAAATAGTGCCCAATCATTGTTGTCAGTGGAAAGAATGGTTCCCCAACACTGGTATCAATGAAAGAAAATTTGCCCCAATACTGGTGTCAGTGGAAGGACCAGTGCCCCAACATTGGTGTCAGGGAAGGACCAGTGCTCCAGAATTGGTGTCAGTGGCAGGAGTAGTGCACCATCAATGATAGCAGTGGGGGATGAAAGTGGCAGCAGTAGTGCACCATCGATGGTAGCTGTGGGAGGAGACGTGCCCCATCTTTAGTGTTAGCAGGAGTAATAGTGCTCTATATTTTATATCAGTGGATGGAATTATGCCCCATTGTTGATGTCAGCGGCAGGAACAGTACCCCAGTGATGGTACCAGTGGGAGGAAAAGTGCACCATCTTTAATGTTGGTGGAAGTAATAATGTTCTGTAGTTTATATCAGTGGGAGGAATTGTGTCCCAATGTGTGGTGTCTGGTGTTAGTGGAAGGAATGGTGCCTCATTTCAGTGGGAAGAATAGTGCCCCAAGGGCCAGATAAAGGCAATCAAAGGCCCACAACCGGCCCCTGGGCTGCAGTTTGGAGACCACTGGTCTTATACATAGAAATAAAAGAACTGTGTGGAAAATCTTAGTTTATCCTTTGCGAGAAAGGGGGAGGCTAGGTGGTGGAGTGTGGGTTTATGGAAGGGGTTAAGCAAAAGGAGTATGGGGCAGAGGGCAAAAAAGAGTATAATGGCATACAGTTAAATGCTAATGTGATAAATGTGCAAAGATTTATTTGTCAATACAACATGAAACCTAACCAAGTTCATATACTGTAGCAGGGTGAAACAGGGGTATAGGGTAGAGATATGGGTTAATTTACTAAAGGCAAAAAGACTATTTATTTTGCAATGGAAGTTACACTTTGCAAGTGCAATTGTCCCATATCTTAGTGAATGTGGTTTAGTACCCAATCATATTCAAAGAAAATAAAAAAAACAGCATTTTTTGCTTGCTATTGATTGGATGATGGAAGTCCTCAGAGCTTCATCTCATTCACTAAGCTCTGGGGCATACGCCCTTAAAAAATACAACTTTCCTTGAAAAGTGAACAGCTTATTTGCCTTTAGTAAATTATCCCCATGGTCTTATATATACAAATAGCAGAAATGAGCAGAAAATATTAGGTTTTTGTATGTTTTGATGGGGAAAAGAGAGGATATCAATGGCAGGAGTTAGTTACGTAGTGTGAGGGCAAAAGGCAGAATTATGGTAATTTGTTTCTCAATTGCATCCCGGGCCCATTATGACAGGGTCCCTCGAGAATGTGTGAGGTAATCAGAAGTCTGGTTTAACTGTACCCAATGGAACCACATTTTAGTGAAACTCTCTACTTTGTCCTTTAATGATTTTGTGAGGTTTTCTATTTGTATATTCAGGCCTTTCTATCTTTGTAGTTTATAATAGTACAAAGATTCAATTATTTAGACAAATCCTTAATGGCCAACATATGGAATCTGTATTGGATTTTTGTGTAAATGTTGGATTTATATTTGCTCAATGCATGCACAATGTGAATGCATCACATTCAGAAGCATTCTGATTATGTTTAATTTGAAGTGATCATTCACACTGTGTTCTGGATATAGACTAGCAAAAGTAATATGATCCACACTGATATGCAATCTTTATTTGTCCAAGTGTAATAATGTTTGTATTGGCATCTACTTACATTTCGAAAGCAGACATAAATCCCTGTGTGAGCAACTTCAGGCTGGTCTACTAAGTAGGATTATATACCTTATATACCTATACCTTACCATCTGTGTGGGATTCAAGGATTGTTAAAGATCTATACCAGTTTTTTATAGCTCTTTTTTATCACTTCACTAAGTTGAAGCATGGGCTATGGTTTGAAAGTATACAATGTATGTTTCTTAAATATCTTTGTTCATGTATTTAAAAGAGAAAGTGATTGTTCACCAATGGGGTCCTGTTGTACATTTCCCTGTAAAAATATTCACCATTTACCAAACCAATATACGTTTACTACCAAATGTTACAAATCTAGGTTTTTTCCAGTGGAAAATACAGGCTTTTGCAACATTCACCACATTTCTGATCTAGAAATGTTATATATGCTGGTCCTGATATATTTGGCACAGTTGCTGTTTGTATATGGCAAGTCATTGATTGTAAGAATTATTTAGCTTTGACTCCCATCCTACTAGATCTCTGTACACACTGAAGGTGCCATACAAATTTTAGGCTAATATTGGCATTTGCCTTAGTGTCAACATCTACTGTAGATTTGCATTACTCATATTGCCAAATTAAAAGACATTTATTGTAACATTGAATCTAAATGGTGTCGTGAATAGGAATAAGGGAGTAATGAAAGCTGATGGTTTGTCAGAGTGGACCTCATTATTTGCTATGACGTGTGAATATTTGCTTCTAGTGATGGACCAAACATCCCCTTGTTCGTTTCGCAGTTGAACATTTGAACCTAACAAAAGTTGGACTGTGAACTCAACGCAAATCTATAGGACTCAAACTTGTAAATTCAAAAGTGTCCATTTTGAAGGCTTATATGCAAGCTATTGGCCATAAAGGGGAATAGGGACTTGGGTACTGCCCTGAGTGACATGAATCAGTGAAAAAAAATTACAAAAATAAGCATTTTTAAAGGGGCAGTTATTTTTCATTGCTTAAGGTAAAAAAAAAATAAAAAAATACTTTAAATATCATGCCTGGGGGGATCCCCTTAAACTACCTGCAAACTTACACATCTGTACAATGTATAGAAACTGCTGCAGCAGGAAAGCCTTTTTTTTTTTTTAAAATGAAATTTTAAAAAACAAACAAACAAACAGCATGTCCCCCCCCCCCAATCCATTCCAGACCCTTTAGGTCTGGTAGGAAGGTTAGGAGGGTCCCCACAGTAAAAAAGTGCGTGGGGTTCCCCCTAAAAGCCATATCAGGCCCTTTAGGCCTGATAGAACTTTTAAGGGGAATCCCACCACCCAAAAATGGGCACAAAAAGTGTGGAGTTCTCCCTAAATTCCTACCAGATCCATGATCTGAGCACAGGCCTTGCAGGGCAGAAAAGGGGGGGGGGAGAATGAGTGCCCCCCCTCCCTGCAGCTTACCATGCCGATGGGGACAAGGGCCTCTTCCCCACAACCCTGGCCAGATGGTTGTTGGGGTCTGCGGGCAGTAGAGCTCTGCCCGCAGATCCCCCCGCAAACCCCTGATGCTGCCTCCCCTTGTGAATGAGTAAGGGGTACTTGTACCCCTGCTCAGTCACTAAAGGGTTAAGTTGAGTAAAAAAATTAAAGAGACCAGTCTTTTGAAAAATTCCTTTATTAAAAAAAAAAATGGTTCCATCGATGTGATCCATAATCTATCACGGCATCCAGCATTGTCACGACGACGCTGTCTCCTGAAATATAAAAAAAAAACCAGATGCCCACCAACCCATCTGCACCTACCAAGCACTCACCGCAATCTGACATTTGTAAACAATTGGGTGGAGCTAGCAGTGATATCACAGCTAGCTCCACCCAGTTGTGCAGTGATTGGCCAAAGCATTGTACCTGATCTGTGGTCAGGTGCATTGCTTTTGCCAAATACGATACACTGTGAGAGCTCAGTGCATTGTGGGGCGACTCGGGTGAAAAGCCCGTCGAACTCCCTTATCAGTCATGTTTTTTCATCACATGAACGGTTAATGTTCGAGTCAAGTTAATGTTCAGCTGAAACACCCAGCCCATCACTATTTGGTTCACTGGTGTATTAGTGAACTGTTAAAAAGTGGTCCAAAGGATCAAGTGCAAGTTCACTAGGGTGCAAGGTTCCTGTGGACACCAACCCCAAATAGCAAGCCTTTTCTCCTTTCTCCCTGGGCAACCTCCAGTAACTTGATCAAATCCAGTTACATCCCATTTTTTGAAATGCTGGCACTTATGTTGTGTGTCCTAAGATCTAATGGGGCTGACATACAGACAGATCTAGGACTAGTTGACTAATTGCCTGAACAATGATCCTTTGCATCAAAACAGAAATGTGAACAATATCTCAGCACTGATCATATGACTAGACCTAAGGATATGTGCAATACCACTTGACAAGGATCGTTTATGCTTGATGTTGTAAAAATATTCTGAACATAATTTTTCTGGTCTGTGCAACTTTTTCCAGAAAACAGTTTTTTAGTAACAACAGTATAGAAAGTCTATGGAAAAAGTAAGCTGAGAATTTCCT